GACTCTTAAACACTGAGAACAAACTGAGGGTTGATGGGGGGTGGGGGAGAGGGGAAAGTGGGTGATGGGCATAGAGGAGGGCACCTGTTGGGATGAGCGCTGGGTGTTGCATGGAAGCCAATTGGACAATACATTATATTTAATATAAAAAAAACAATTAGAAAAAAAATCTGGGTTCGAAAGGCAGGACAGTGTCAAGTTGCTTAATTTTTCACATGACGTCAATTTTTGCCTACCCACAAAAGGCAGGCAGAAGAAACTTCAAACGCAGTTGCGCATCAGCGGGATGAAACATGCATGACGAAAGGTACATTATGGGCAAGCTCCTGTCAGTAGTTCACCCATCGGTGGCCGCGTTGTGTACCATGCGAAGACACCTGCACAGTTTAACAAAGACATTGTTGGTGGCCTGTGTAGAGCGCCACATGAAACCCCACTTGTTCCCTCAGGGAGAGGTCTGTGGGTGTGTTCTTGTTCTCCACAGCTTTCCAAGGCTTCAGTGGTCCCTCACAATACGGTCTGTTGGCTTCTAGCAACCCGGGAACTTCCGTGGCTGTCATTTGGCTGCTGTTAGCTATTTGATATGTAGCTACCTGCGCCCTGACCGGTGGTACGACGTGCCTTTTCATCACGTAGCGTTTGCGACCCATTCTTGGTATACAATTACAACTCAAAGAATTACTTGTTTATTTCTCTGTCTTAAGACCAACCGTTGGTTCATTTGAGTCTGGTACATTAGTATTAATGTATAGATCTACATAATATCAATATAAATATAATACTAATAAATATCATAAATAAAAAAAGAAGTCTCTCATTATGAATTCAGACACCATTCCTGATAAGAACTCAAAAATATATAGGGATTATAAGGGACTACTTAAATATGGGAAAGACTACCAAAAAACTATAGCAAATATCATTTTAAATAGCCAACACTGAAGTTGTTTTTATTAACATCAAGAATCAAAAAAAACAAACAAAAAAACAAAAAGAATCAAACAGGGATGCTGATTACACCATTAACGTTCAGCATCGCCTCAAAAGCTCTGGTCAACGCAGTGAGAAAATGACATAATCCACATTAATGATGTCAGATCGTATTAATCCGTATTAAGGATGAGGGAATAAAAAGAAAAGTGCACGTACAAGCTATATCGTCCAGTTGCAGGACAACTGAGCTGTCAGCACAGAGCCTGACGTGGGGCTCGAACTCACGAGCTGCGAGATCATGACCTGAGCCCAAGTCGGTCGCTCAATGGACTGAGCCACCCAGGCGACTCCGGACTAGCATTTTTGGAAGGAAAACAGGAAACAAAGATGAAAGGGAGGGAGGGAGGGGAAGAGAGCCGGCAGTTGAAGTAGAGAGGTGGGGAGGGGGGTCGGAGAGAGAAGCAGGAATGAGATCCACTCGGTGCAGGGAGTTCAGAGAACATCTGTGTCAAGGGGCCCAAGAAACCTCCCAAAGGCAGCGGGCCCTCCGGGAGGGATCTGACTGGAAGACCAGGGGTCTCCGAAGACTCACGTCCCCTTGCTTACCCCGTTGTGCCTTCCGAACAGCTTGTGGTGTCTGTTCCAAATAATAGTAATAATTTTAATTTAGTAATTCGATGTTCAATAACAAAAAAGAATTAACGGATGAAAATGTATATCCTGATATTTTTACCCCTCTTGCTATTTCCACGTACAACTGACCCTTGAACAAGGCGGGGGTCAGGGGCACCGACCCCTGTGTGGTTAAAAATCCACGTATCACTTCTGATGCCCCAAAGCTTTATTAATAGCCTACTGTTGACTGAAAGCCTTACCCATAACGCCAACAGTCAATACGTATTTTGTGTGTTATATGTATCGTACACTGTATTCTCACAATAAAGGCAGCTCGAGGAAAGAAAGCATTACTAAGAAAATCACAAGGAACAGAAAATCCATTTACGGGAACGGTGAAAAATTCACATATATGGGGACCCACATACGTCAAACCCACGGTTGTGCAAGGGTCAACGGTATTTTTAAAGAGAAAATACAGGTAGCTGTTGCGAGTTGTTGATTTTACGTGCAAACATCAAAGTGGGCTGCAAACACGTTCTGAGATAGTAAAGACTGGTGGACTTTCTACAGGTTGCCATAAAGGTGCTGGAGAACTCCCTGAATGCACAGACCGGTATTTCGTGGCAGAAACTGCACTACCTCATTGGGGAAGTGACTTACGGCGGCCGGGTGACGGACACCTGGGACAGGCGGTGTCTAAACACCCTTCTGCACAAATTCTGTAACCCGGAAGTGCTGAAAGATGACTTCAGTTTCTCCAGCGATGAGGTGGGAACAGGCATTTACTTACAGTACTTGATCACTGAAATGTAGCTGCGTTATCTAAAACCTGCATTTAAATGGATTTTCATGGTCACTTTTAATGGCTCTTATTAACTGCCAGCAGTGTAAAAACAAGTCACCATTTACCATGTCAGCTGACGTTTCATCTTCCCATGCATCCTCTCAAGGCCAGAAAGACCAGGGTCTGACCTCTGTCCCCTCGCTTATCCAAGAAGCAGACCATTAGGTCAGCCTCCGTGCAGGGAGAGAATTGGGCTCCATGTTTCAAAGGGATCGCGTCCAAGAAGCTGTGGGCGTCTCTTTATCCAGCATAGCCCTGTTCGTCATTATCACCTCATAGGTTCTAGAAGGCCCGTTTTCTCCCCAGGGGATGTGACACGAGAGTCAGCCTTACAGAGGGGAACTTAGCCACACAGCTAATCGCAGGAAGAAAGAGCTGGTGACCAGCATGAAGAGCTCTCCCACACCATTAAGTAGCTTCTCAATTAAAACAAATGTATTATGCATTTCATAACTGGGATTTCATAGCTTTTGACCACCGTCACCCATTTTG